TAACCAATTTTTACTTTCAGAAAGATGAGATTTAATCCAACCTGATTAATCAATTCATAATTTTTTTGAGGCAGATTGAAGATTTGCTAAATATCACATAATAAATAATTACCTGGCACATACAGGATACAGGGTTCCAGTAACTACACAATGGCAGGTTTCCTTACTGCACAGTCTAGACAAATAGAACTGTATTTCAAACCAACCACTACATCATTTTTTTTTCCTATTGTTGACTTCTACTTTACCGTTGTGAAATCTCCATTTAATGCACTCTCTTGGTTTAGAAGTATCCTGCCTACACATTATTTCAGTTAAGCTTGCCAGAGCTGGCATATGTAAAGTTCTTGGTAAGAATTCCACACTTCGTGCAACTCCACTGGTAAATGGCAAAGGTGCTGCCAGAATAACTTTACTAAGTTAGTAGCAAAAAAAAAATATAATAATAATAATAATTCAAATAATGCAAAGTAAAACAGTAAAATCTATATAGAAAGGCATTTTGAATATCTTGTCTTACTGCTCATTTCTGATGCGTCAAATCCATCTGATTTAAAAGTAATCTTGGAAATGATGGGGTACCTGAAAAAACGGCACAAAAGGCATTTCTAAAGAACCTGTTTCTCTTTTTGTGCTACTACAAATATAGAAATGGCTTTCTGAAAGCTTCTAACAGGAAGATTACACTGAATGTTAGATATTTGATGTGTGCTGAAAAAGGCCTTTAATATTACAAAAGTAGAGTCCTTAATCCAAGGTTCAAATGCCTATTTTAAAGGCATTTGGCATTATATTTAAACAAAGCTAGTGCAGTCCCTGCAGCTGCAAATTGCAGGGAACAAATGCAAATCGCAAGAGTTCACACTGCAAGCTCTGAAAAGTCATCAAAGCCTCCAAGTGCTTTTAAAGAATAACATATAAAATGCCACAAGACCTCACAAGCTACCCTGCAGGAATCCATTGCTTTTTACCTGATAGAGCAGTGAAGCTAAGAACTTTGATCCTTTCTTTTTCCAGAGCCTCTGTGAAAGTGCAAATAAGCACCCAGTACACATACATACCATGAAAAGAAAAAAAATAGACATCTTCTAAAAATTTACATGAAACTTACAAGTTACATCACAAACTGCATCTATGCCATGCCACTACAGATGGATAAATTAACAGAAAAGTTTTGCGATGCTGCTGCCAGGAGACATTGATGGTAAGGAAAAAAACTATAATCACCTGATACTCCTCAGCTGCCACAACTTGTAGGGAGAATTCAACTTTAAATAATACCTCTCATCTAGCGAAAAGTTATCCCTATTCTGTTGATACAAAATTACATGCAGATGGAGGTTATATAAGAATTTTTAAAACCTTCATTTTAATTCAGTAGTGTACAAAGGCATTATGTACACTCTATCACCATTTTGGATACCTACTAATTTTACAAATTGAAATGCAAGTTAACAAATAATATAGAATGTAATAATAGAAGGCTCTATGTAAAATAGAATGCAATGTAGAAGGCTCAACCAGTAAAGCTGCAGATTGTTTCCTTTTAAACCTTTCGTTCTTCTAGCATATAGAAGTAAGACTAGTAGGAATGTCACAAGCCAAACAATCAAGTGGGATATAAACTAATTTCTGAAAGACATCTAATTTTAAAGCTTGGAATACAATAAATTAGCAGTTGTAGAAAGTGGCCGTCTTCTTTTCGTTTAGCAGAAGAGAACCGACGTGTTTAATTCAAAGGCATCAAAGACATTTGCCCCTGGGCAACCTGAGCATGGACATCTGAGGACGTTACACAGAATCATAGCAATGCTCAGGTCGGAAAAGACCTTAAAGATCATTGAGTCGGACCACAACCTAACCATACTACCCTAACTCTAACAACCCTCCTCTAAATCATGTCCCTGAGCACCACATCCAAATGGTTTTTAAACACATGCAGGGATGATGACTCAACCACTTCCCTGGGGAGCCCATTCCAGTACAGTTATACCACGACATCCATGCTCTCTGCTTCTGGGCTGCCCCAACTCACATTAAAGATCATTCTGCAGCTTTCTTAAAGGTTTTGCTCTCAATGCTTTCTTCTTCCCATTAAGAAGAAATTTTTAGTTTCTCCAATCCTGAGGTACCACCCCCATTCATGTGTCACAACACTACCGGACATTATCCCCTGGCCCCGATGAAAAGCTGTATGCGGTCAATCTTCATCAAGTCAAAGGGCAGAGAAGTGTGAGGGGGAATATACAGGATAAAACCTTCCAAAGAAAAAAACCTGATTCCCAAAGCCTGAGGGTTTCTTGCCTATTTCCTAAGGCTCCAAAGTTGAGAAAAGTACAAGAAAACTTTCCACTCCACTGAAGTTATTACTAACAGGCAGGTGGAAACTGCTCACACGCAGGGTTATTTCTGAGCTGGATTTGATTTTCTTATTAGCAAGGCAGTGAACAACAACAACAAAACAGACCTTGCAGTATGAGTGCAAGAGATGGTGCTCACCTTGAGCCAGGCTCAAATCAAGCAGCAGGAAGAGCCACGTCACACTCAGCTAAACCAGCAACCGCAATTTGCACTTCAGCAGGCAAGCCCTCACCTGCAGGACAAAGCAACTACCCACTGAAGTGTGAGGCAGGAACACCAGCTACACATTGCATGTCTTCACAGAACAGCAACTCTTCATTTTCCACAGGGCTGTGAACTCAGGGTCTGAGCAGAAGGGAGCCTCACCATGTCACAGCCCTGCTGGCATCCTGGTTCCACCACTCATCCCCTGCGGGCATTCTCAACAATGACACTGCCATTATTGCTCTTTTCCAATGAGTGCTGGGCCTGCTGGGATTTTACAGCCTTTGGTACCTTGTAAAATTGCACTGCACTCAGTACTGCTGCAATTCCCATGGGCCTTCTAATTTTGTTGTTAGTAAATTGATTGATAAAAATGGCCACAGATAAAAGCGCTTGACTGCATACTACTTAAAAACTTCCACTGATGCAGCACATTAATTCTCTGCATGATTCACATGCAACAACTACTCTACAGCAGCATTAAAGATGCTCCTCTCAGTAAAAGCATTCCTAGGATGTTTTATTTTAAAAAGAACATGCCTGGGGGCTGAGTACACAGCACACGCATGGGAAAAAGAAGGGACCTAGCCCTGGGAATCAAAAAAAAAAAAAAAGCTGACTAAGACAAGACCAACACTGAGCACACGGCTGAGCAGATCTGGATTTGTCAGAGGATACAAATCCTCTACAACTCCCAGTGTCCCTGCTAATTTCAAACACAGGTCACCATCACATGATAAGGTCTGTCATTTAAGAAAGAAGAAATGTAAGCCATGTAGCACACATCAGTCTAGAATAATCATTAACAGTAAAGACAAATGTAATGATGTATATCAGTCTGCTCTGCAATGCTGCTGACAGCCTCAGACAGAAAGATAGAAACTACATCTGGGAAAAAGATGGGTCTTGGAGGTTGTACACAGCCTTGATTATGCTCCTGGAAAGTAAATCTTGTCCTGCTTTTCTGTTGTATACACAGGTGCCTGGAGAGCAGCCTGAATGCTCAAGCTTTTGTCCTCAACTCTCTCAGGCCACCTCCGTAGCTTTTGTTTTACACAGCGTGGCCTGGCACTCCTACTGTGACCAAGCTCAATGCTCATTACAGCACCGTCTATAAATGTGACCTAATTTTTATGCTTGAGTGTCAACATCTTGGACCTCTGCCTCTCCAGGGGGCATGCAATGGGTCAGGATCTCACACAGCTGCCACTACAAACTTAAAGGTCAGGTGTTGCATAGATAGCTAAGTAAGTAAATAAAGGTTGTAAGCTGAACACTACCTTGAATGCAGGTGCACGAATAAAGAAGCTAAAAATCACTTTATCAGCAGTCAAGCTGTTAGAGAGCTGTTTGCAACCCACTGCCACCAACCAGTTCTCTGAGATAGGATACAAAATGGCATAGGAAATAAGAGGGCTTCCAGAGCACTCCTAAGCTTCACACATCTGTCATGATACACTGCTCCAGTGCAAAGTCACTCCAGATTCCAAAGAAGAGGAAAAGGTGCTGAGAGGACTGAGTCACTCTCCACATCACAACAGGCTGCTGTGCTGCACATCTGCTTGCTTGGGAGCAACCGCATTTTTAGCAGCACGAATTACTCAGAGAGACATTCACTATCTGTTACCTGTGGTCATAAAGTGGAAAACTTTATGTGGTGGTAACAACCACTACAGTTACCTGCAACTTGCATTTAAAGATTATCCACTGGACAATAACACAGAGTACTTATCAGAAGGTTTCTTGAAGCACATCGTTTTAGAATCAAAGGGAACAAGTCAGGGCAACTGATGCAACTGGAAAAAAAACCACATATTTTCAAGACTCAGTAACCCTCTTCCTGGTCTGAAAGTGCTTTACATAATCTTGCCTCATTTGGGGAAGCCTTAAGACACAGACTGCTTGTGCAGACAGCAGCGTACCCTACCCATCAGGTACACGCAGTTCCTCAGTCCCCTGCACTACAGAATCATAGAACTGCTCAGGTCGAAAAAGACCTTCAAGATCAACTCCAATCACAACCTAACCACACTACCCTAACTCTAACAACCCTCCACTAATCCGTGTCCCTGAGCACCACAGCTCCATTCACGCAGGCCTCGCATGGCCTTTCATCGTAGGGCACTTCCAAAACCCTCCTGGCATACGGAGGCTCACAGACAGTCCCGCCTGCAGGTGACGAGGCAGCGCCGGGGCGGGAGGCGCTCTGACAGCACTGCCTCTCAGCAGGGCACGGGCGAGGAGCCTGCGAGCCTCCCCCGCCGCCGCACAGGGCACGCACACCCACGGCAGCTGCCTGGGAGCCAAGACCTCCCTCCCCTCCCCCGCCAGCCGTACCCCTCACAGCGCCGGCCTGAGGTGACGGTGCGCAGCGACTGCGCATGCCCGCACCAGCAGCTCCATTGCGACTGCGCGGAGCTGCGACCGAGGGGGAGGGGATCGCGCGCTCCCATTCTTGCCCCGCGCTCGGCCCGGGGGGAAAATGGCGAGCCTGATTCCCGCGGCGACCTCATCTCCCGCCGGCGCTCCTTCCCGTAGCAAGAAGCGCCCGGCAAGCCCGGGCACCGGCAGCGGTCCGGCCAAGAAAAAGAAAGTGGCGGCGTCGAGCGGCTCACAGGTAACGCTCGCGGGCGGGCGGGAGGCGCGCATGTGCCACGGCGCTTTCCGCGCTCCCCCGCACACCGCGCATGCGCAGAGCCGTGGGGGAGTGCCCTGCTGCCCGCGGGGTGTGTGCGCGCTGCGCTGTGTGCCTTCGTGCTGGGACTGTTCGTTCGTAGCGAACGAGAGGTCGTCTCCAGGTCTCTTGTCCTTTTAATTGCTACTACTGAACCTGGGGAGAATGAGTATCTTCGATACTGATCTAAAAAATGCCACTAATTCCTCTATCTCAGTGTTCACAGAAGTATTTTCATAGATGTTTAGAGAAACAGGAAGCATCTAAAAGAGTTTATTCTATGTTAAGATGTGACCAGTGAGCAAAATGCTTGCACCTGACAGCTAACAGGCTTCAAAGACAGAATTTGAATTACGTGAGGGACTTGGAAATAATTTTGTCAGAGGACAAAACCCAGCTGAGTTGCTGGCTGTGTAACTAAGAGGTGAAGCTTTGCCTCGGCTTAGGAAAAGCAGTTTTTAAAATCACTTCACTGTCAGCGCAAAGCCCATCCAGCTCAACCCTTGCTGTCGTCTGATTGCCCCCAGCAGCTCAGCCCAGGGCCCCATCCAGCCTGGCCTTTAGCACTCCAGCGATGGGGCACTACAGCCTCTGTGGGCAGCTGTGCCAGCGCCTCACTGCCCTCTGTGTAAAGCATTTCCCCCTGACATCTGTCCCATTTCTCAAGCAGTATGTCTGGATTATTTCTCCTAGAAAGATTCTGCCAGCCAACATCAAAAAAAAAGGGCTGGAGAAAATATTCTCTATTTCATCCCATACATGATTCTTCTCAGTCATATTTCACAGACCATAATAGTAGCGTAGCTGCAAAGTATGCACGGCCTGTTAGGTTGCTTATTTTCACACGAGCCATTAGATCAGGGAAACGTGTTTGCATTTTCCTGCAGATCTTCTCTCCAGACAATTGAAAGCCATTGTGCACATGCCAAGGCACAGACAGAAACCTTTCCATGTTCTGAACGATGCTCTTGTAACTCTTGTTTTCTCCCTGTGGCATTTACATAGTTTATTTTCCTTTTCTGGCACTCTTATCCCCAGGAGAGGCTGTACGAACTACAGTGATTAATGTAGCTAAGAAACTGCACTGCAACCGTGAAGAATTACTGCCTGGCATGATTGTATTTGACAACTTTTTTCAAGGTCTATTAGGAATAAGAATCGGGATTTCCAGCATGGAAAAGACTGCTCTGTGTCTGTATGCATGTATAAAATCCTTTACACTTAACAACCTTCTCCAGAACTTCAACCTTTAAAACTGTTCTCTGAAGTTCACATCAAACTGAAGCCCATAGGTAGCTTCCAGTATTATGAGACAACCCACGATCTCTTACCCAAACTGAGTTTTGATAAACAGTTTTTGCAGATCTTCTCACAAGAGATTTCAGTGGAGAGAGGAGTAATTTCTCATTCAAGTCAGCATATGCATCCACTGACTTCAGCAGCTCAGATCAATCCCACAAGGAAAAGAGAAAAAATGAGGCTCTGAAAGTGCCTAACCTAAGAAATGGGACAAGAAGCAGCTCGTTGATCTTCTTGCTATCACATTCAATGTTGCTGACTAGCTCTGGTGTGAGCCAGTTTGAATAGAAACGAAATGGAAAATGGGGATGTTGCATTTTTTGACTTAGAAACATTGATCACCTGATCACATTCTTCTTCGGTACCTCATTTAATCTGTGCATCCAGAAGCTTTACATAGTCCATAGTTAATTGCTGAGTAATGTACTTTTTCTGGATAAGGAAACCTGTGACACAAGGAAACAGTAATTCTAGCCTGCTGAGCTCTTCAGAATACAGCCTGTCAACAAGCACTTAACGCTCTATTTTAAATTATGAATGGATAAATGGATAAATTATCCAATTTTTAAGTGGATCAGCCAGTCAGAGACTAAGTCATCAATGAATTTTAAATACGCTTTCTAAATGTATTAACTACCGAGTATCCAGTCATTGTGGGCCTTTAATTAATTAACTAGTTAGTTTATCTCTAATGCCACATGAATAACATCCTTCATTCAGCTGTCTGGTAAGTACGCGCTCTTAACACACACCATGTGCATCACAAGTTTGGATGTTGTAGTTAGTACTCTTCTGTCTGTTCAGTTTCCTAAGTAACCTCTTTGATATTTTTAACAGCTTCATACAGCCTCATTTCAGCCTTTCAGGTGCCAAATATATCATTCTTTAGCTCAGCGTGGTATGGTTTCTATTTTAAACAAACTGACATTGTGAAACAAATGGGAAAATAGTGAATTACATCCCTAGTTAATTAGCACACTGCAGGTAAGAGGATCCCTACCAAGAGGTCTCTAACTACCTGCAGTGTCAGCTTAGGATCTGAGGACTCTGCTAAAGTACTCTAAAGTACATTGTATGCTTTTGAGTGTTACATTAACTGGTAACTTCTGCATGGCCTACCTCAAAATACACTTAATGCTGCCAATTTTGAGTTTCCTCACATCTGTGATTCCGTCACTGTGAAATAAAACAAAAATGTTTTCTTTCAGTGTGACTTCTGCAAGTTGCATCAGCTTGCTTTTCTTTCGTAAGCTTTATGTCATAAGTAGCTATCAGCATAGTGCTTATGCTGAAAGATGTGCTGATATGATAAAACTGTAGATTTCAAATAATCACCCAAAATGTGCTATATTTTTAATAGAACAATCTTGCTTGAGTAATTAGCTAGTTTGAGTAACTGTGTGTGTACTGTATAAGAATGCACAAGGATCACACAGCATACAGATGTTTTAAACCCAGTTTTGATGATGTTTCTCTGACACACTGTCTAGAATACGAGTTTCTACTTTGTTTGAGATACACTTTTAAGGCATTAGCAAATAACATTCTCTGGAGTTGGTGTGACTTACTGGCCCAAAGGTATTGAGTCATGTTTGCTTTGGAAGAACATTGCCCATAGGGCTTGTCGGTCATGTCTACAGAAGGAGACACATGCTTTTTGGATACAATGCCTGTATTTACCAAATGTAAAATTAAAAATGAGTTTACAGGAAACCACAATTGCAGATTGATTACATCATTTCTATTAGCCTTGCACAATGATTCCTCCCATGTGGTTGTGCCACTGAAAAATACCTCAGTCTTTACTGCAGCAAATGATTTTTAATGTTGAAGATTATTATGTATATTAAAACGTTAACCTCAGGTGTGAAAACCAGTGCTGTTTTTTGACTTACATAGCACCATTCAATTTGATGTCTTTGCCCAGTGATTTCCAATGGCTTCTGTGTGGGTTCAGCTCCACTGCTGACAGAAGTAACAGAAGCTCTTGGACAGACCTGTCTCCAGGTCTCTTGTCTTTTTAATTACTACTAATTAAACTGGGAGAGAATGAGTATCTTCGATACTAATCTAAAAAATGCCACTAATTCCTCTACCTTAATGTTCACAGCAGTATTTTCACAGATGTTTGGAGGAACAGGAAGCGTCTAAAAGAGTTTATTCTATGTTAAGATGTGACCAGTGAGCAAAATGCTTGCACCTGACAGCTAACAAGCTTCAAAGACAGAATTTGCATTAAGATAAGAGAGGGGCTTGGAAATAATTTTGTCAGAGAATAAAGAGAGAAAATGTGCTAAATATGGCAAATGCATATTTGCTTACATGCTTGTGAACCAACTTCACACATGAGTGATGAAGTACAGTAAATGCCTCACTTGGAGAATGATATCAAAGTTTGTCTCACATTTTGAACGGATGTAAGCTGCTTCGTAAACTACAGAAATACACCAAGAATGCTCCTGCTTCCTCTCTCTCCAACTCTGTAACAAGTTTTGGTGCAATTTAGAAAACAACGATTGAACTTCCTCCTCTGCAAGACTTGAGTGGAATTTCTGAATTACTTACATGATTAAATACATTGATTTTATCTCTGCGAATATTGCAGCACTGCTACTGGAAACCATTTTACGTAACTGTTTCTCATATGTATATTTCACAGTCTTCCCTTTTTCTCATTCTGTGCTCCAAAACAAGAGCTCTACAACAGTGTTAGAAAATACAAAAGTCAAAATGGTGTAAGGTTGTCTTAAATAAGTTCCTCTAATGCACAAACTTAAAATAAAAGGAGCAATTCTAAGATAAGCTTAGAACTCCATTTTTTATGGAAAATGTAACTGAATGATGGTATTTTACGTTGTCACCTGAAGATCACCTGATGAGGAGCTGCTCTCTCAACAGCACTTAGCTATGTACTTATTATAATGGCTGTTGTTGTGTATTCAGAAGCTAACAACAGAGAGCTTACCCGGGGATATAAATAGCCTGGAATTGGACTCCAAACCATCAGTAAATTTAATCAGTTCTCCTGTTCTGCTGTTTTACCAAGCCTATCGCTGTAAGTAGGAAGCCATCAAATCAATTTAAAAATAACTCTGTTTTAAAGAGTCCATTTGATCTGGCTCTAATTTCCTGAAAAATGAGGTTAGGGTAGGATGAGTTTAACCACAGAATCACAGAGTGTGACTACAACCACTGCACCGAACTGCTGCTTTCACTGTGTTTCGGGACAAGAACCTTCTGCAGTATGGCACAGCGCAATAATGATTTTCTGATTTGACAGGAAAAATGAATTGCTTACGAATACAGACAACCTTGTTTACAGCCCTAACCAGTGTAACACTAATCTTACTTTCATAATACTGTCCCCAACAAGACTTTCTGTAAGAGAAAACCATAATTTTCTTTTGTAGCTGGAAATTTAAAAAACAAATTGTGGTTTTCTCCAACCTCTTTGCCCAGAGACAGCAAGACCCTGATACAACACAGTAGTAGGGAGGTGTAAGTACATGTGCACATGCCAGTTTATGAAAAAGCCGTCTTTTCATTATGCTGTGAAGTTTTTTGTTTTGTTTTGTTTTTTCCTGCTTAAACATCTCTCAGCCCTGAAGGTTACGACAGTAACTGAAAAAAAAAAAGAATTTAAC